CATGCCACCTGCTGCCCCCTTGAACTGATTTTATTTTAGTCTCTTAGGGATATTTACTTTAAATATATATTTGACATTTTTGCCATAGGGTGTGTACACTCACTGGAGAGGGAAAGTAAGAAATCACCCCTGGGGGAGGGGGGGAAGAAGGCCATGACACAATTCTTTTTTCTCCATTCTCCTCTTGGGATTTTGGGCATGCACACATACATGCCCAGTGTGTTTTTCAAGCCACTAGGTCTGGGACTTGAACCACAGAGTTGACCATATGGGATTTAGTGTCTTAACCACTTGTTGGCCCCCAAAACACACTGTCTTTTTATGATGTGCAAAACAAAGCCTGAATTAACACAACACTGTTTCAGGAAGGGAGCAGCATGTTTCCATGTCCTAAAATGGAAACCAGCATTGAGTGTTTGTAAAGTAAATTCATGCGAAGTCAATCTTATTTCCCCTCTACCTTTTCCCATGAAATGTGGGAAATGGATATGTTGGGTCATCAGAAAAGTCATGGCACATTTTTACATAGAAAAATAAGTCATGATTTTCCCAAAGACCCAATATTTAACCCAGAGAAACCATGCCTGAGTGGACCTTGCTAAGTGGTTTCGGAAGGAAGAGGCTCACATGATGGCCGGCACGCTGACTTGAGTCAGCGGATGTACTTGCTCCATCAGCAGCCCTGTGTCTGTGGGATTTTCAGTCCTTTGTCATTTGCAGGGTGTCCTCCCCACCATACAGTCACCTCCCCTGCTCCTGGGACCGCAGATATTTTCACTCACACTTGGGCCGAGCAGGCTCCAGTCTTATGGAAGGAGCTTGGAAAAGCATAGACACTTCTCATGGCAAAGACTTTGAGTGCCATAAAATGACTTAATTCCCTGCAGAACTGGTTCTAATAAGTCTAAACTTGTATAAATTGAGTTACCTGAAATAAGCAATTTAGACTGGAATAAAGGGGCCATGTGAGAAGGGAGGGTAGATGGCACCTGTGACAGAATGAGGTAGAGAATAAGTGACAGGGAATCTGTGTGAATGCCCAGGAGAACACTGGCCTAATATCATCTTGCTTCTGCAGTACACTTCGCAGCGATAAAGCATTTTAATAAGCACGACTTAGTTTTCCCTCTTAGTTTGCATCTCAACAGAACTGCCCAGCAGGATGAAAGACTGGAAGGAATCCAGGTAGCAGTGACAAGCCCTAGGGCTAGAACAGCTTTGTCTCTGAATCATCATTTAATTCAGGAAAGGCTCTTAACTTCGCTGATAACCATTTCTCTACTGGTCAAAAAAATAAATAAATAAATTTAAAAAACAAACTAAATCAGAATGAGGGTTTGGATTATATGATTACTATTAGTCTTTTCTTTCTGCCAGAGGGTACATGCACTTGTTAGGGAGAAAGAGAGAATGAGAGAAATATATAGACAGAAGGCATCCTTCAATGGGGATTAGTCACACTGCAAACCCTTCTCCATTTCTCCATCAGGGACTTTGGGCACACACACACATGTGCCCAGTAGGTTTTTCAAATCTCTGGAGCTGGGATTTGAACTCCCAGTGGCTATGTAAGACCTGGCTCCCTCACCACTCTGTTATAGGCTGGCCCTACTATACATTTTTTGCACCCCTGAACCTGGATGATGTCATTTATGTTGACAATGTGCTCTTATGTAACGGATTAGAATGGGGTTTCTGGAAAGGTCAGACACAACCTTATAGAGGATACAAATCCTGGTTTCGGTTTAATTAATTAATTCCTTATAGAGGATAAACATGTTGGTTTAGGATTAAATGCTGGTTTAGGATTAATTGCTGTGTGACCTTGACAAAATGAGAGAACCCCTCTGAACCTCAGTCTCTTAATCAGGAAATGAGAACAATAAGACTCCTCTTGTCCAGTGATCGCCCATGTGAATAGAGAAACTGACAGCACTTTTAAACTTCAACAACCTATCAAAACAATAAACCATTGTTGTTATCATTATTACTTCCACTATAAAAATCCACTAGCCTTCTAAGAATGACCTAGCAGAGAAAAAAATTAATTCAGCAGCCCTTATTATTCACCCAGCATAAATCCTGACTGGGGAGCAAAGACTAGTTACAAAGCAAGAAGAAACAATTTAGCTTCTTCACTGCCATCTCATGGTCTAGGCTTCTAGGCGCCCCCTCCTCCCTGCAAACTACAGAAACTAACGAACACCTAGGGCATTAACAAAGATGATTTTCTCCATCACCAGGACAACAGAATCAATCTTTCTACACAGATCTTTCAAAGATCAACAAAATTACTATGAAGATTAAAAACAAATACACCATGGCACTTAGAGAGGCAACAGCTGTTCTTCCAAACTTTCCAAAATAACATCAGAGCACAATGTCATGACTGGATCTGGAGATGTGGACCCGGCTTTAGAAACACATGGCATTGCAAGAGGTTACATACCAGAAAAGCTGGCTCCTCACTATATCCCACATACACAGGCCCTCCCACACACCTGGGGCTAAATGGTAAGAACCATGCACCCACACCTGCACAATGGAAGACACCTCCTACTCCAAGTGACTTCTCATTCCCTTTCTTGAAATTACTACCTAGTGTATTCTTATGCATGGAGTTGGGTGGAAGCTCATCTAAAAAGTAACAAATTCTTTTTTTCCTCCAGGATAATAAAATTAAAAAGATCCTTCATGTCTGGACAATAATTAGGAAGCTTATTTTGGCTTTTCTTTGTTCTCTGATGTCCCTGAACCTGACTGGTTTTATTTGTTTGTTTTTTAGAGAGATTTTTGCTATGGGCTGCATGTACTTAACGGAGAGTCAGAAAGACAGAAAGTGAGAAATCCCCTTCCAGAGGGTATAGCCAGACTGCAATCCTTTCTCCTTCAGTCTCCTCTTGGGATTTTGGGCATGCATGCACATGTGCCCAGTGTGAGTTTTAAGCTACCAGGTCCAGGACTTGAATCGTGATCAACTACGTGGGAGTCTAGCAATGTAATCATTACGCCATCTGCTGGTCTCAAGCCTGACTGGTTTTTAAGCATGCATTGGATAACTTAGGTCATAGGTTTTAGCATGGAAGTGTGTTTGTGTGTGTGTGTCTGTATACATACATACATATATACGCACACATACTATATTATATATCTATTACTTTATATATTTATTATTATATGTATATATCTTTATTTTATGTATTGGGTCATTTGAAAAGTCATGATGTATTTCTGTCATAACTTTTCCAATGACCCGATATGTACTTACATATAAAAGAAATAAACCTAAAAAATTTTATTGCTAGAAAGTATGTGTGCTCACCAAAGAGAGCCAGAAACAGTACTCCCCAATGGAGCATGGTCATGCCAAAATCCACCGCTCCATCCTGTCAGGATTTTAGACATGAACACAGCCAGCATGTTTTCAGCCTGCCGTATGGGATCTGTCTCCATATGCATGGGGCTTGACTACTGTGCTACAGAGCTGGCACGAAACTTGTAATTAAATAGGACCTATGAAAACCACACCTGAACAGTCTACACAGAGGAGTAAAAAATGAATTTATGGGGCCAGCAGGTAGCATGGTGCTTAAGGCGCCGGAAAGCCTGTGACTGACAGCAGTTGGAGTCCCAGACCTGGTGGCTTGCTTTCTCACCTTCCCTCCCTCTCTTTATCTTTCTCTCTGTCTCTTTTGTGAGTGCACATGCCCTGAAGCAAATTAAAAAATAATAATAATGACAAATAAAATTAAATAAGCAATTCCTTAAAAATGAATTTATTTAAAAAATAAATTATAATGCTATAATTCTTGTTGTATTGATTTCAGCTTTTTTATTATACCTTGAAAATAAAAGCAAAGATAACAAGTACGTTAAGGGCAAGATACCCTCTTACTCATCCTTTTGTAATTTCCATAAACTCAAGAAATTCTTGTCTAATTTAATTATTTAAAAACTTTCTTAAGGAAAGTAAGCATTTAATCATAGTAATAGTTTATATATCATTATTATAAAAGCTTCGTTTTGAAATAAAATCATTACAAAATAAAATCAATAACCATGTTGAAGAACTAAAACTAATTTCTAATGAACTCAATGAAATATAAGTTCTATGCCTCATTGAAATCTGGAGTTTGAATTAATTCTTGATTCATGGCTATTACAACTTCAGCCTTGCTGATCTTCTGAGATATATAATCAATAATTTGGCATTCCAATTAGTTACTCGATTCATTTTTAAAAACTCAAATATGCTGAAGGGTAAAAACAAATATATATATATATGTGTGTGTGTGTGTGTATGTATGTATATACACATATACATATGTGTGTATATGTATATACTACAACTATATATACATACACACATATATACAAACACACATACAAATATACATGTGCGTGTGTGTGTATATTTTGTTTCAACCAATGGATTTAGCATAATTACTAGAAGTAAATGAATATCTTATCACAACCAATAAATTTAGGGATAATTGCTAGAAATAAATGTCTACCTTGTCAATCTGTCACTGCTTGTCACAGCTAGTTTTATTCTTAAATGAATCATGTCTAACACAGAACTGATAAGTAGTAGTAATTGATTTAATCCTGAGTAACATAAATCTTCTATGTCACTAAATACTGTTTTTGCACAATATATTTACTTCACTTTTTATTGAGTAACATGGAAATGGGTGCTGAGCTGGCAGCCTGATAATAAATAGCCCTAATGTTATCAGGACTGCTCTCTCTCGCATTGACAAAAATGGTGATAAATTGAATTGTAATTGAGATGGAGAAGGAAGACTATTCCTTCTAATGCTGAGATGAACTTATCCCCTCCCCCGTCCTCATTACACACTCATGCTTTTCCACCAGCAGGCAGGGTTAGCCCTGAAACACAGAGCCCACCCTCTGTCACACACGGCCCCACACCCCATGGCTGTGCACGCTGAGCCACACGCCTGGCTTCTGAGGAGAGGTTAAGCGCTTTACTTTACCTTCTTGCACACAGACGGGTTTATCACTTGGGATCCAGCCTAGGGTTCCATTAAGATGTTTCATACACAGTCTCTTTGTAGAGCCTTTCAGCTTGAATCCGTCTTGGCAGTGAAATCGGGCTACAGAGCTTTCAAAGAAAACCCCTCCACTGGGGGTCCTGAAGCCATTCTCAGGGACTCCTGGGTCAGCACACACGTGAAGGTCATCGAAACCTACATTGACAGAGAGAGAAAAAGGTGCCTCTGAGTATACTCGTCTAATGGCAAGGGCCTTCCGAGACAAAGGACAGACACTGTTGACTGCACACGCCCTAGAGCCCTCCAACCATACCAGCTGCAAAGCCAAGACCATACATACTCCAGTGCGCGTTTTAGTCTGCTCTTTGCTTTCTCCTTACAAAAGCGCTTATTAGAGTTTTCAGTCCAATGACCAGGTTAGCCTTTCAAGGAAGTTCTAGTAGAAGGGAGAAAAGGAAAAGTAAACAAAAGGAATAGAGTAACCAGTGCCACACAGAGGCACAAAACGCTGGCTAGTGCAAGGAGGCAAAAGTAGTCCAGAGAGGCCAGGGAGGTGAAATTCGAGCTGGCCTTGAAGGTCTAGTAAAATTTAAAGACAGCTCTCTGGCGGCATGGGCACGTCCTGTCAGCAAGAATGGAACAGCCATGACCGGGACAGGGGGGATGGCAGGGCGTGTTCAGGGAGCAACAAGTGGGCGCGATGGTTATAGCCCAGGTGGGCTGTGAATGCCCGTGTTTCCCCTTCCCTTGCCCCATCCCTTCTGTCAGAGGAACACCCACTCCTCAGGCCCCAGATCATGTTTCTCATCCTCCCAGCTGCCTCCATCCGACTCTCCTCACACCTCATCCCCATTTTATTCCACCACTGGAACAAACACTACACTTGAATAATTTGTAGAATGACTACCTCTGGTACCCATCTGTGGGTCCTGTCAAGGATAGGTCCTGGGGCTATTTCATCTCTGTGTCACCAGAAGCTATACCAGTGTCATGCAACAAAAGTGCTCCATAAATGTTTGCCGAATGAATAAATGAGGTTGATGGCACAAAGCCAGAGGGATGAACTAAAAAAAGAGAGTTCTAAAGCTCAGTCAGGAGACCAAGGCAGTGGTGTAGGCAAGAGGTGATGGGGACTGGAAGGGCACAAGAGTGAAGCAGACAGCCAGGAGAATACAAGTGTGTGAGACACTTCGGTTTCAGGATCCCCTTGCCAACCAACAGGATATTGGGGTAAGGTCTGAGATTTTGTGCCCAGGTGGCTGGGGTGAAGACACATTTTTGAAACACATATGGATGTCGTGAGCTGACTAGGAGAGCCCAGGGATGAAGGAGGGTTTCTGGGTGCATCAATGTATCCTCAGAGGGGAGAACGCAAACTCCTGAGTTCCACAAAGGCATTCTACCCCATCGTTTTACTCACAAAGTCAATCAACAAATCCTTGCTGAATAGTTACTGAGAACAAATACAGTCAAAACAATTGCAAAACAATGTTTTGGTCAACAATGGGCTGCATATACAATAGTGGTCCTATATTATAATAGGCTGTACCACACGGCCGAAGTGTGTAACTAGCTATACCAGCGAGGTTTGTGTACACTCTGTTGTTTCTAGAGATGAAATTGCCTAACGACGCATTCCTCCGAACGTCCTGTTGTGAAGTAATGCACGACACGTGCGTAGCTCTATCTAGTGGAGGGTTGATACTCCCTTTACCCCTGCCCCCAGCACAGTCTGCTAGTGCCGGGATGGGCTAGGTACCATCAAATAATCTCACTGAGGGGCCAGCAGGTGTCGTGAGGGTTAGGGCGCTGGACTCTCACATGGCCGATCATGGTTTGAGTCTCAGACTCAGTGGCTCAAAAATCACACCAAGTGCCTGTGTGTGCATGCCCAAAATCCTGAGAGGAGAAGGGATTGCAGCATGGCCATCCTCCTGCGTGGTGATTTCTCACTTTCACTCTCTTTGTCTCTTCCTGGCGAGTGCACATGCTCTATTGCAAAAATCAAAAAAGAAAAGAAAAAAAAAATCTCAACCAAGCCCCACAAGGCAGTAAGGATCGCTGAGGCTCTTGGAGGATTTATCTGGTTTCTGGGTGGTCACAGAAGGACAAGGACAAGGTAAGCGCGCTGAAACAGAGTACAGAATAACCCTCCAGAAGGCCTGAGGCTGAATCCTTATAACGCGCAGGCACTGGCCAGCCAGAGGGGAGAAGGGAGCTGCAGATACAGGCCAGAAGGCACAGCAGTGGAAATGAGGGGTCCTGCCAGGGTGCCTGCTGGAGGTGGGGGCTTGAGATAAAGAAAGGGAAAGCAGACCTGGAAGGCCATGTTAGCTCAGAGCTTGGACTTCATGCATGGGATGAGAGCATGGGGAGACAGGACTGAGTTTTGAACAGGGGCAAGATTAGACTCAGATTTGGATTTTTAAAGTGATCTCTTTGGCACCCGTGTCCAGGACTGATGAGTACAACCAGACATGGGTAAGGAGACCATTCGAAACAGCTCCCAGGTCACTAGCCGCACATCACAATCATGGGGACAGCTTTGTAGAAAGACAGACCCACTGACCCTGGTTCTGTCTGCGTGGGGTGGGCCTAGGGCCTGTACTCCTTTTTTTTTTTTTTTTTTTTTTTAAGGTTTTGAGTCAATTGTTTTCTTATCTTTACGATATATCATGTCCTTAGAAATCATCCAACTTGTTACTGTAGTAGCTAAGGCCTGTCCTCAAAAATTTCTCCAAATGACTAGGGCAGCCCCTGTGCAAGGACCAGCCTTTGGGAACTGTGGAACTGAAAGGCTCCTGCAGTCATCCAGGGGACAACTAGTGACTCAGAAATAAGGCAGAGACAGTGGAATGGGAAGGGCCAGGAGAGATGTGAAGGACACAGCCACCAAGCCTGGTGACTGACAGATGGGGGCTGGGTTGGGGGGAAGTTAACAGAGAGGTAGCCAGATACCTCCCAGGTGCTGCTGTGGAGGACAAGAGAGCTGGTGGTGACATGCAGCAGGGTTGACAGGACAAGATGAATGACCAGAGAAAAGCACAAGGGGTCAAGTGTGGGGCACAGTGAGTCTGAGTTCTTGGAAACACCCAGGTAGAGATGCCAGGTGATCAGCTGGAGAACAAGCCTGAGCTCCCACACTGCCCGGCCCTGCATCTGCAGTGGCTGAAGATATGAGTGGGTGTACTCTCCTGGGGGCAGCATGGGAGAAGAGCAGGAACTGCACATAATTAAGGGACACCCACAAAGGACATAGCAGAACAAGGGCCAAGGGGGAGGAGGATCTGACTGGAGTCCCTGAAACAAGGAAAGAGTTTCCAGAAGCAAGGAGGCTGGGTCAGACAGACCACACTCACTGTTCTGATCAGCTGAGCAAAGATGGCTGAAGAGAGAGAACACCGGGTCTTCTGCCAAGGTGGCTTTAGGCCAGGAAGGCATTGTGCCGCGGTGGGGGGTGGGGGGAGGCAGTGTCTGCTTATGTGAACGGAAGCACACAGGGAGGCAGCTACCCAGGAACTAGGACCTGAGTAGATAAGCCACTATTGTAGTAAAATTTCTAGATGGGAGCCAGAGTGGTGCCGCAATCTGCAAGGCAGACCCACGCAGGAAGGTTGCCAGTTCACATCAGAAGACCTCCCTGAGTAGGCAGGACATGTTTGCACCCATGATCCTGGCTGATGGAGGCTGGGGTTGGATGGTGGCATCGAGACTCTGTCAAGGATGCTGTATCTCTGTCTCTCTTTCTCTGTCTCTCGCACCCATGGAATAAACAAACTTAAAAAAATTTGAATTGTTTCATCTGTTTCAGATGAAACAGATCTGAAGATGCTTCTATGCAATAGGGAGAATACATTGGAGAATAAAGGGTTGTGGAGGAGGACAAGTGAGGGGAGGCAGGCATGGTAATTTGCTACCACCTGAGAAAGAAGGGACCTAAACCCAGGAGGAAGGACTTGTCTTTCACTCAAACAGGAAGGGAAGTCATGTCTGAACCTCTACTGATGGAAGGGTTTTCCCCATAATGTACTTATCCACTAAGATTCAGCTGAGAGAGCACCTCTTCCAGAGAGCCTGCCCTCCCCTATCAGACTCTGAAGAGGAGGCCTCTCTTCCCACCCTGGCTCAAGTCACCTAACTCTATCATCCTTGATCTACCTAGCTGTCTTCTCCTCTGGGCTGGGAACTCCAGGAGAGGGAGATTAGTATTATTCCTCACCTCCTCAGGACCTTACATGGTGCACAGTGGTCATTCCACAGTCCTGCTAATAAAGGATGGAGAGATGGACAGATGGGCAGATGATAGATGATGGGCAGATAGATGGATGGCCAGATGGGTAGATGGTAAGTGGGTGGATGGGTAGATGGGTGGAGACACAGATGAGGCCACATGCCAACTGCTCTGCTGCACTCATCACTGTCCTTACCCACCAAATAGTAATGCTCATGACCCCCCAAAGCCCCAGAAGCTTATGGATTCCACAGATGAGAGAGGTGTGATGTATCCTCTCACAGCCCAGATGTGCTCCCCGCTAACACCCTTTCACATTTTTCCCTTCTCCAAATATTGAGTGAACTGGATTCCCTAATTTTTTATAACCTTCTCCTAATCCACAACTCTAAACACCTCAGCCTCCAATGTCAGGGCCAGCAGTAGGTCTACACTAGAGATCTGGTTGAGCCATCTGTGTCCCCCTCCAACACCCAATTCCCCTCTAACATCCTTTCACCTTCTTCCCTTCTCCTAATATGAGTGAACTGGATTCCTTAATTTTTTATAATCTTCTCCTGAGATTCCAAGGACAGCAGAAGATCTAGCCCCAAATTCATTAAAAAATGTCTCCTGCTAAAATAAATAGCGATGAAAGCTTCATAAAAATTATGACATGAGAACAGTAGAATTTCCTCATGGATCCAATTCTGTACTCTTTGTGCATCCCTTTCCTTTTAAAGAAGCACTGCCATCCACCGCTCTGCTTTGAGGTAACCATAGTTAGCCTCTGGGTTCCACGCCTGACACAGCGTGGATGAGCAGAAATGCTGCTGGCCAATGGCACACAGCCAATGTGTTAGCAGGGACAAAGATCAGGTGGTGAAAAGAGAGCAATCAGAAGATGGGATGGCACGAGAAGAAAATATTCTTCATTTTGGACAACTAATCCCATTGAGCAAGATAGTAATTTTCTAGGGCCTGC